GGTAGTTAAAAACAACTATCTGAAAGCCATTCCTCCAATAAGCCACGTATCCAATCTCATAGGCTGCCACCTCTACAAAATATTGTTAACCTCTTAAGGATCAGACCCTTTTTTTAAATTTTTGTCTAAAATGACATACCCAAATCTAACTGCCTGTAGCTCAGGACTTGAAGCAAGGATATGCATATTCTTGATACCATTTGAAAGGAAACACTTTGTTTGTGGAAATGTGAAATTGATGTAGGAGAATATAACACATTAGATCTGGTAAAAGATAATACAAACAAAAAAACATGTGTTTTCTATTATTTATTTTGTTCCATCATCTTTGAAATGCAAGAGAAAGGCCACAATATAATATTGCAGTTTAGGCGCAATTTAGATTTAGTATGTGTGCAAAGTTTCAGAATGATCCAGTGAAACATTGCACTACTGGACTATTTTAATCAAGTCTGCCCAAATGTGCCGAATTGGTCACTATAGAGAACATACAAAAATGATATGGTAATAAAAAATGTACGTTTACACACTCCCAGGAATGTCATACATGATGGATCATTAGCTTATACACTAACTTTCACACATCTAGATGGCTGGGCGGGGTGAGTGTAGAGCCAGAGACAGCAGGGGTTCAAACTGTAGAACCCAGTTCCTACATTTGAATATAAAAAGGGATTTTATCAAACAAAACTATGCTACGTTTTATCTCTGGGACCCTTAGGATGACAAATCAGAGCAAGATTACTGAATGTAAGTACATTATTTACCTTCAGAGGTGAATGTATCAAACCAGTTGCCGTGATACATTTTTTGTTGTTGTGCACTCTCTTCAAACAATAGCATGGTCTTTTTTCACTGTAATAGCTACTGTAAATTGGACAGTGCAGTTAGATTAACAATAATTTAAGCTTTCTGTCCATATAAGACATGTCTTTGTCCTGGAAAGTTTGCTGTTACTTACAGCAGTCATGTTAATCACATTAGCGCACATTAGCTCAACCGTCCCGTATACGGAACCCTGATCCCGTAGAGGTTAAAAAGGTTCAGAAATGAACCCCTCCCATCACAAAAAGATTCCGATTTGAACCTTTACACAAGGTTCCTTGAAGACCCTTTTCACAGGGGTTCCTCAAGAAACTGTCATGACTGTCCACGAGAATCCAAATAGGTCAGATTAGGTTTGCAATTAACAAATTCAATCAGACCCCCTCTCACCCGTAGAGGGGGAAGGAAAGAACTAGGGGGGGGGGGGGGGGGGGCTTAACAGCTCACGCCTGGTCATAAATCAAAGGAAGAAGATCTCTCTCTCCCTTCTAAAGATTCCCCTTAGGAATGTTCTTTGTTTAACATACTTTTTCCAGCTGAAACTTTAACACGTTCAAAAGCGAATACTGGAACAATATTTCTAACGTAGAATGTGGGAATGGTCGTAGGCAATCTATAGAACACTAATGTCTTATTGTTTGTTATTTTGTGATGTCATTAAAAATGTTTTAAAGGAAATACTGTAACTTGGAAAGTGTCCATACTATGCGTTGTGCATGTAATATGAAAAATGATTAAAGTATTTTTGTTAAGAGAGGGATGTGATTTAAGAAGCTATAAGAGATAATTGTTTTCCATAAACTTTGCACAGGAAGTAGTAACCGCCCAAAGTGAGGTCAGAAAGCGTGTCAGCCTGACGGAACCGCCCCTTTTCGAGCAGAGTCTGTAAATGGTGGGTTAAGAATTAACATATTAGATCAGAAAAGCATAAAACGGCCGCTACACGTTTAAAATGGTTGGAACTCTGAATTGCAACACAAGGTGGAGAAGGAAAACTCACTTCCAGGACAATCACTGGTATGGCTAATTAGCTGTCCTAAGTAAAGTATCTTTGAAATTGAATTTAAGTAGGCCCATCCTATTACTCTGCTCAATCCATCTTTTTACACTACGCCCATCACCCCACTGGGAATCATCGATACGGCTGGCTAGCCTATCTTCAAAGAAACATCTTCAAGAGTGAATGGAAGGAAAATCAACTATAGTTCTGTTCAGGACTACAAGACAACCGATCACTGCACCTGTACACAGCCCATCTGAAATTAGCCCGCCCAACTACCTCATCCCTATATTGTTATTTATTTTGCTCATTTGTACCCCAGTATCTCTATTTGCACAACATCTCTTGCACATCTATCATTCCAGTGTTAATACTAATTGTAATTATTTTGCACTATAGCCTATTTTATTGCCTTACCTCCATAACTTGCTAAATTTGCACACACTGTATATATATGTATTTCTGTTGTATTTTTTTGACTTTGTTTTGTTTTACCCCATATGTAACTCTGTGTTGTTGTTTTTATCGCACTGCTTTGCTTTATCTTGGCCAGGTCGCAGTTGTAAATGAGAACTTGTTCTCAACTGGTTTACCTGGTTAAATAAAGGTGAAATAAAAATAAATAAAACAAGTCACTGCAGACCGGACAACTACGAAGAAGAGAACAACAGTAGAAGACTTGTTGGAACCTTTTTGGACAATCAGAGCCTTACAAGCGTGCAGCGAGAAGGCTCACCTCCCTTTCCAGGACGGTACAGTCCACCGAGAGAGATACATGGCGAAACAGGCATTTCACGTAAATACATTCATGATTTCTTACTCAAAGAGGGCGGCGGTTTGTGTGCAAAGTATATGGTTACTATAGAAGAGAGTAGTTTTACGAATGTGGTAATGTTAAGTGTCTCTTTCCCTCTTCCTCTTTTCCTTAACATGCATCAATGCTGTTGTCATTCCGCTAGGGAACTGTGCGGGTGATGATGGACAGAGTCAGACGCAGGAGAGGAAATCACGGAATAAATGGTTTAATCAATAAACAGAGGTACGCAGCAATGCGTAATACACACCAGTGTGGACAAACGGTGGACTGGGGAAAATAAGGCAAACAGGTGAATAACCCAGCGATACACAATAGAAACTAGCTCCACCGAGCTATAATCTCCTCTACAATAAACAATCACACACAAAGACAAGGGGGCAGAGGGAACACTGATACAGGTACTGATGAGGGGATATGAACCAGGTGTGTGTAATAAACAAGACAAAACAAATGGAATGATGAGATGAGGAGCGGCAGTGGCTAGAAGGCCGGTGACGACGAACGCCGAAGCCTGCCCGAACAAGGAGAGATTCGGAGGAAGTCGTGATACCTGTTTTCATCGTATTAAGTTTCCAGTCAATAACCGATACAGTGTGTGTGTGTTTATCCTGTGTTTCCATTTAATTAGCTAGTAAATTAATAATTAAACAAATTTGTGCAGTACTGAATCATAAGTAAGGCTCGGGTTTTTGCAGATACGACTGTCAGAATGATGATATGATACGAGGTTATGATTAATAAGTTGACTGTTTATAGATGTGATAGGTAAAGACCTTTTAGAGTTTAATTTGGGAGATGGCTTTAAAGAACCGCTCTATGGTGCCCCAGATCCTAATTAGTTAATTGTTACATTATACATTTTATCGGGTAACAATTAAACATTGTTAGTTGATTAGATAAATAACAGTCCTCAGATTAATGTTAAGGTGAAGTCACAACAAAACCTTTTTGAACTGGAAAGGTTCTTCCAGGCACCTTTATTTCTAAGGGTGTAGTTATACACGGGCTGCGTTCAATCAGCTAGCAAGTCAGAAATGTCTGATTTCCCACTAGCACCTGAATTCAGCAATAATTACTTTTATGTAGCCTACATACACGCCCAGAGTATAGCCAATGGTAAAAATTTGGCCCGCAGGTGGTTTTATTTGGAAGTACAACACAGTGCCCTGCCAGTGCACTACATAAAGGTATGACCTAGTGTGGTAGGATGGCTAATGTTTTACTATTATTATTGCTGAATTCAGGTGCTAGTGGGAAATCAAACATTTCTGACTTGCTAGCTGATTGAACGCGGCAGGTGAATAACTACACCCTTAGAAATAAAGGTGCCTGGAAGAATAGTAAAACATTAGCCATCCTACCACACTAGGTCATACCTTGTAGGCTAAATACAAATAATTAAGTTTCCTGAGCCAAAAAAAAGATGATATATTATTATCATATTTTATTGTTGGACATAAAAGACTGTAAAAAATACCAGGAAATCAGCTCCAAGTGATTTTAACTTCAGAAATCTGTTCCCAAGTATTCCCACGCACTGTAGGGAGACATGTGATCATATACAAACGTAAGCAAGGTTTGAAATGATTATGTTTTAGTCAAAGGTCAATTTGCAGTCTACAAATTATATGTAATTATGTTCCGGAAATCAGACCGCAGCTGAATCTAGTTGATGATCCCTGCCCTACAGTTTATGGTTCTCACGTGAGCTCATCAATGTGAGCGGATGACGTCACTGGCGATTTGAAGCACTTTTGCTGGTTGAGCCGATTTGAACCAGCAAAAGTGCTTCAAATCGTTTAGTAATCTCTGTCACTTGGTCATGTTGTCAACATTGCAACGTCGTGCATCATCCAGAAACATAAAACATATATTTTCCTTGAAATATGTATTTCAATTTTCAAACTAGTTTTTATTGGAAAGGCAGATAAAGTTTTTTTTAAAAGAGCTATCACTTTTGCATGTAAAAACAAAAAATCCTACTCATTACCCAGCATGCTTAATTACACCACTTTTGTTTTGAGCCGACATCTCTGTAGGCTTTGAACCGGGCAAGGAGGCAGCCCTGTTTCAAAACGAATGCAATAAACTTTCACCCGGTGCAAAAGAGGCATACCTGGGTGACCGGGACAGATTAACCGAATCCCCTCAACGAGCACCGTGCATACACAGAAGTTGTTTTTCCGGACGTTCAGGACGGACTACATCTGAACCAATCATAGGCGACCTCTATAGTTCATGAAGTTATGTAAATCTGATCAAATAATAGGAATTCGTGGCCAAGCATGGGTGTATGTTGTGGCAGCAGTGTAGTTATTCTCCTCGATCGACTGACTAATTGCTAGGCTACGTTATAAAATGGAAGTTTACAAATACCCTGTTTTCTTCGAGTGCCAGACTCTGGACCCATCACAGAAAGAGAAGATAAAAAAGTACTTTGAAATTCGCCGTAAATCCGGTGGCGGAGATTGTGGACCAGTAGAATCAGTTGGTGACAACGTTTACAAGGTTGCGTTTATTTACCCGAAAGGTATGAAAATGTTTATGCGAAGTGATAGGATATTGAATGCCTTTTTTATTTATTTTTTACCATGCGCTCTTGCCAATGTCTGTTCATAAGTTAAAGTTAGTTTGTTCAATATATGATTTATTCTATGGCCTATTTGATTACAATTTATCATTTGAATAGGCCTACATTTGGGTAAGACAATCATATTTAAACTTCAAGGAGGATTTGCGAAATCAGAATGTTTGTCAGACGTGCGGTTTTCACTAGTTACCACAGCCACAAAGTCGGAATTGGCTATCATAAAAATACTTGGGAAAAAAAGTGCTTTTTGGTCTTGATTTTAGGTTAGGGTTTGGCATACGGTTAGCAGTGTGGTTAAGGTTAGGTTTAAGGTTATTTTTAGGTTTGAAATAATATTTTAATTAAGAAAATAAATTGTAGTAATAGGCAGGGTTTATGACTTTGTGGCTGTGGTAACTAGTGATTGACATGCAGCAAATAAATATGGTATAGGAGTAAATTTAACTTTCACATAGCCAGGCTACAGGTATGCAGACAGGTATGCACAAATGCATTCCTTTGGCTTTTCATTATATGTTTTAACTCTACAGTACTTTATCAATCTAAAAGGAAATAACATTTTGTTTTAATAACTTTTAAGATTAATTAAGAACTTTATAGATGCACATACAGTGTATTACTTTAGAGATTATAGCACAACTCCTCTAGCTTATGTAGCCTTTAACTCTTCAAGTCCTGGACTAAATGCAAAAGGCTTAATTAATACAGTTAAAAAATATTATTATTATTATTGTTGTTGTTATTGTTCTTACTGTTACTACTACTACTACTAATACTACTACTACTAATACTACTACTGCTACTACTACTACATGACAACAACAAAACAACAACAACTCATTATGACATTGTAATTCTTCCAGTCCAGGAGAGGGTACTTCAGAAAACTCATCATGTGTTGGAGATGCCTGGGGGACCTCTTTCCCTCACTCTGAGAGGCAGCCTGGAGACAACCACCCCAGTAAGCAGTCAGGCGGTGAGGCCCGACTATACAGACACAACTACAGTATAGAGTACAGGCTGAGTCACATAACCTGCTAGAGAATACATTTATTTTCCCTAACATGAGGTCAAAATACACAGACGTCAATGCACTGTTGTTGTATTTGCATCCCAGTAAACACATAGCTTAGTCATACATCGTGGATCTGCCAGTCAGGTAATAACTATAATATCCCTTCAAATGAAACCAAAATGTTCTGCACTGATTTTATTGCATGTTTGGTGTATGTTATATTGTAATAAGTAACATAATAATTTACAATTTGTGGAATGACAAGAACATACATTTTAGCAAAACAAATCTGTACTAAACTAAATGGACAAATGCCAAACCAGTTTTTTTTTTTTAGATGTATCAGATAATCCAGACGCAGCTGTACGGTCGAACTACAATAATAAATCAATAATAAATGTAGATAAATCCAGACATAATAATCATTAACAGTAGAATTATCCAGGACTTATACCTTTCTTTTCTGACTGTAGAGTCACCAACTCCTCCCATTACGTCCCTCCTTCCCAGTCCAGACATCGCCACCTGGTGACCTAGAGCATGAACTCCATCTAGACTCCTACCTCCTGCGCTACCTGAAGGAGAGCCCTGGGGCTGGAAAAGGCCTGCAGCAGCAGCTGGCCTCTTTGAGCTGCTCTGTCCATCTCCACCCAGAGGACGGGAGGGCAGTGGTCAGAGGCTCAGGCCAAGCTTATTCATGTGGAGATGGAGTCGGGGTTGGGGTGGGACCATGGAAGGCACAGGTAGAGAAACTGTTCAAACATCTCCATGAGCGGTACCAATGCCACTATGAGGTAGACGCATGTAAGCTCCAGACTCTGCTGCAGAGAAGTACCCTAGGTTCGGAGGATGTGAGGGTTTACTGCGAGGCAGGGTTTGCGGTGGTGGTTGGGGAGGGGGCCGAGGTACAGGCCAAACTGAAGGAGCTGGAGGCCTTCCAGGCTCAGGGTCTGAGCTCAGGGAAGCAGGAGAAGGTCAGCACCACTTGTCGTCTGGGACAGGCCAAGCTCCGTCTTCTAGGGGAAGTTATAGAGAAGGATCTAGTTGAGGCTGTTCCTGGAGTGAGAGTGATGCGCGGTGACTCAGCTCAGCTGGTGCTGGAGGGTTCAGCAAGTGAAGTCCGGACAGCCAGACAGTTAGTTATAGATAAGATCTCTCTGGTGCTGGAGCGGGTGGTGCCTGAGGTGTCCCTCCACCTCCTGTCCTTCTTGAGGCAGGAGTATGGGAGGCCTGAGCATCTGAGCAGCCTGCTGGGGTTGGGACGCCATGTGAAAGTAGAGCTGGGGGACACAGAGCTCCGCCTGTTCGCCATCTCCTCCTATAAACTGGACCAGGCTGAGAAGGTTCTGCTGGGGGAGTTTGGGGAGGAGAAGATCGACTTGCCCAACTGTCCTGCCCTCCCGGCTGAACTGAAGTCTAAGCTTGAGAAGAAGGTGAAGGAGATGAACCAGAGCAGACACAGGGTGGTAGCCAGGTATGGTCCTGGGTGTAGAGTGCAGCTGCTGGGCCACCTGAAGCAGGTTCAGGAGCTGAGTGAGGAGATCGGGGCCTTTCTGATGGACCAGAACAATGGTGGCGTAGTTGGTGAAGCAGGGCCCGGACCAAGACGTGAGGAGACGGTCGCAGCCACCAGCTATCACCTCCATGGGGGACTGCAGGTAGTGGTTTGTCAGGGTGACATCACCAAGGAACGGGCGGACGCACTGGTGAACACAGCCAATGAGGATCTGGATCACGCTGGAGGTGTGGCTGCAGCTCTGAGCCGGGCGGGGGGACCTGAGGTACAGCGGGCCAGCAGGGATCTGGTTAGGCAGATAGGGAGAGTACCCACAGGTACAGTGGTAGAGACTACAGGAGGGAATCTGCCTTGTAAGATGCTGCTGCATGCGGTGGGACCAGTAGGTGGCAGCGTAGGTGGGAATGAGCGCCCTCTGCTGGAGAAGACAGTAATGGCAGCCCTGGATCTGGCAGAGACCCTGGAGCTCCAGACCCTGGCCATGCCCTGCATCAGCTCAGGGATATTTGGCGTTCCTCTGAAGGTGTGCTCTGAGGCCATAGTCTCTGCAGTGAGGGACTTTGGGAGGGAACAGCACATCCTTACCAAGGTCACTCTGATTGATGTGAGTGGAGAGGCAGTGAAAGCCATGCAGGAGGCCTGTGATAGGCTGTTTCAGGGGAAGAGGGAGTTTTCTGGGTGGGAGGGAGAGTCCAGCACCACCACCACTACCACTACACATGCTCCTCAGAGAGACACCACTTCTGCCTCCTCAAGGGAAGCAGCCACTCCAGAGGTCTGTGTCCAGGTGGAGATCATCCAGGGAACCATAGAGAAGCAGCAGGTGAGAGAGAGACACTGACATGGCCATATTCTTGATTCAACAACATTCTGTGAATTATGTTTACTTCATACTGACTCAATGTTCCCGTTCTCTTTGACACTTTCTCTTCCTTTTTCTGTTACCCTTTTTCTTTCTTTCTTTATCTCTTTCTTTCCTCTTATCTGTCTGTCTCTCTGAAGGTGGATGCCCTGGTGTCCCCCATGGTTGGTAGTGACCCTCTCTCCTCCCGTGTTGGTAATGTCTTGTCGGAGGCAGCTGGACCGGGACTGATGAAAGCGTTTCTGAGGGAATCAGGGGGACAGACTGCACCTGGTGACAATGTCCTGGTGGAGGGACTGACTGGTCTCAGCTCTGGCCGTGTCTTCTTCCTCAGCTGTGCACAATGGGACAACAACCCCCAAGGACCAGCAGTACAAGTGTGTCCCCTTGTGTGTGTGTGTGTGTGTGTGTGTGTGTGTGTGTGTGTGTTATGACCTTTGAACCTCCATTAACCCTTAACCTCTGGTCCTCTCTCAGGTTCTGAGGCAAGGTGTGAGGAAAATCCTGACCTCTTGTGAGAACCGGGGCTTCTGTTCCGTTGCCTTCCCTGTAGTTGAAACTGGTGTGGTTCTCCGGTTTCCTCAGAACGTGGCAACGCGGGTTCTGCTAGAAGAGGTCCGTCGGTATGAACAGAATCGAGCGAGCCAAAGTCCCTTCCTTGTCCACATCATCGTCCATCCCAATGAGAGAGATTCTACCAAGGTGAGCAGAGACTTTTAAAGGTCTCAAAGCATTTCACAAAATGTCTATTAACTTCAATATGTTTCAGCCAATCACGTTGCAGAGTCTCTGAAGCCATTATATAATACTGAGTCATAAATTACAAATTACAAATTTGTTGTAATAATTACAATTACAGTCCTTCATTACAGTTGTATCGTTTGCTCTAATCTACAGGCTTTTCAGACTGCCCAGAATGCTTTGCCCAGAATGGGCACTCGTCCAGAGCAAGGTGAGTTATAACACTTCATACCCACCTTTAGATCAAATACGTTATTACGTTATGATTAAACTATTCCAAGTTATAATTATGAACCCTCCCTATAGACATCAGGATTGTGCTGCTGGGGAAATCCGGAGGAGGTAAAAGCAGTGCTGGAAACACAATCTTCGGACAAGGCGATGTGTTCCTTGCGGACAGTAACTCCACTTCCGCAACACAGATATGTAAAGCGCAGACCAAGAACATCAAAGGAAGAAACATCACCTTGATTGACACACCTGGATTATTTGACACTGACATTCCTAAAGAGAACCTCAAACCTATAATAGTCAAATGTATAACAGAGTGTGCTCCGGGGCCGCATGCCTTTCTCATTGTACTGAAAGTGGAACGGTACACAGTCCACGAGAAAGAAGCCGTAGCGAATATTGAGAAATATTTTTCACCAGAGGCCTTCAAATATGCCACAGTCCTCTTCACTCATGGTGAACAACTCAATGGTTTGACCATTGAGAAGTTTGTCCAACAGAATGCTGAACTGAACAAGCTTGTGGAGAAATGTGGAGGCCGCTATCACGTAATCGACAACAAATACTGGAACACCAGTCAGCAGGGTCGGCACAGCAACCAGTACCAAGTAGCAGAGCTACTCAACACCATAGAGAAGATGGTGACAGAGAACAGAGGACGGTTCTACACCAACGAGATGCTCCAAGAGGCAGAGAGAGAAATACAGGCAGAGATAGAAAGTCTTAGAAAGGAGTCAAAGGACCAGATGTCAGAGGAAGAGATGAGAAAACAGGCTCAAGAAAGTGTGTGGAAGAAATGCCTGATCAAACTCTCAGGGATTACAGCAGGTGTAGTGGTAGGAGCGTTCCTTGGGGTGGCACTGGGGTCAGGGATCCCACTCACACTCGCTACAAAACCACTGGTTCATTTAGGTAAACGTCAGATGGCAGCTTCAATGAAAACAGTGCAAACAGTCATGGAGACAGCGGCAGGACCAGTGCTTGCAGGAGAGACAGGGGCGCTCATGGGAATGGTTTCAGGTATAGGCATAGGAGCATGGGTACGCATAGGTGCAAGAGCAACAGCAGGAGCGGTAAGAGGAGGGATAGTAGGAGCTACTGTAGCAGAGGAGGCAGAGACAGTACAGGAGGCAGCAGAGAAAGCAGCTAGTGCTGTCTACAATGAAGCTAAGGGTCTTTATGGCCAAGCAGGCCGTAGGATACAGTAACTCTAAGGAGCTGAGATATACCTGAAATCGTTGAGTGATGGTAAAGTGTTTTTCAACACCTGACTAATAACCATTTAGACACCAGTCTGTTCTATACCACTGTAGAATAGCTGATTGTTCAACATACAGCGCATTCGGAAAGTATTCAGACCCCTTGACTCTTTCCACATTTTGTTACGTTACAGCCTTATTCAATTTCTTTTTTGCAATTTATAAAAACTAAAAAACAGAAATACCTTATTTACATACGTTTTCACACCCTTTGTTATGAGAATCATAATTGAGCTCAGGTGCATCCTCTTTCCATTGATCATCCTTGAGATGTTTCTACAACTTGATTGGAGTTCACCTGTGGTAAATTCAATTGATTGGACATGATTTAAAAAGGCACACACCTGTCTATATAAGGTCCCACAGTTGACAGTGCATGTCAGAGCAAAAACAAAGCCATGAGGTCGAAGGAATTGTCCGTAGAGTTCCGAGACAGGATTGTGTTGAGGAACAGATCTGGGGAAGGGTACCAAAGCATTTCTGCAGCATTGAAAGGTCCCCAAGAACACAGTGGCCTCCATCATTCTTAAATGGAAGAAGTTTGGAACCACCAAGACGCTTCCTAGAGCTGGCCAAACTGAGCAATCGGGGGAGAAGGGCTTTGGTCAGGGAAGTGACCAAGAAGCTGATGGTCATTCTGACAGAGCTCCAGAGTTCCTCTGTAGAAATGGGAGAACCTTCCAGAAGGACAACCATCTCTGCAGCACTTCACCAATCAGGCCTTTATGGTAGAGTGGCCAGATGGAAGCCACTCCTCAGTAAAAGGCACATGACAGCCCACTTGGAGTTTGACAATAGGCACCTAAAGACTCTCAGACCATGAGAAACAAGATTCTCTGGTCTGATGAAACCAAGATTGAATTATTTGGCCTGAATGCCAAGCGTCACATCTGGAGGAAACCTGGCACTATCCCAACGGTGAAGCATGGTGGTGGCAGCATAATGCTGTGGGGATGTTTTTCAGCGGCAGGGACTGGGAGACTAGTCACTATTGAGGGAAAGATAAATGGAGCAGAGAGATCCTTGATGAAAACCTGCTCCAGAGCGCATATGACCTCAGACTGGGGTGAAGGTTCACCTTCCAACAGGACAACGGCCCTAAGTACACTGCCAAGACAACACAGGAGTGGCTTCGGGACAAGAATCTCTGAATGTCCTTGAGTGGCCCAGCTAGAGCCCGGACTTGAACCCGATCTAACATCTTTGGAGAGACCTGAAAATAGCTGTGCGGCAAAGCTTCCCATCCAACCTGACAGAGCTTGAGAGGATCTGCAGAGAAGAATGGGAGAAACTCCCCAAATATAGATGTGCCAAGCTTGTGGCCTCATACCCAAGAAGACTCAAGGTGGTAATCGCTGCCTAAGGTGCTTCAACAAAATAATGGGGAAAGGGTCTGAATACTTCCCGATTGCACTTTTGTAGCTGCTTGTCAATATATATATATATATTTTTTTTTCTTTTCTTCAGTATATATTTTTCTTTTTTCATAGTTTAGTGAAAATGAAGATATGGTGGCAAATTATTATGATTATGATTCTTTTTTTAAGTTTACGTTCAAATGGCTCTCCTTTGAAGTTGTGACCCACGACATACGCCTCGTTTCTTGAAACAAGTCTCATATAAGGAATTCAATCAATTTAAATAAATTCATTAGGCCCTGATCTATGGATTTCACATGACTTGGAATACAGATATGCATTTGTTGGTCACAGATACCTTTAAAAAAAGGTAGGGGCGTGTATCAGAAAACTAGTCAGTAACGGGTGTGACCACCATTTGCCTCATGCAGCGCGACACATCTCCTTCACATAGAGTTGATCATGCTGTTTATTGTGGCCTGTGGAATGTTGTCCCACTCTTCTTCAATGGCTGTGCAAAGTTGCTGGATATTGGCGGGAACTGGAACACGCTGTCGTACACGTCGATCTAGAGCATCCCAAATATGCTAAATGGGTGACATGTCTGGTGAGTATGCAGGCCATGGAAGAATTGGGACATTTTCAGCTTCCAGGAATTGTCTACAGATCCTTGCGACATGGGGCTGTGCATTATCTTGCTGAAACATGAGGTGATGGCGGAGGATGAATGGCACGACAATGGGGCCTCAGGATCTCGTCTTGGTATCTCTGTGCATTCAAATTGCCATCGATAAAATGCACCGCCACCATGGAGCACTCTGTTCACAACATTGTCATCAGCAAACCGCTCTCCCACACAACGCCATACATGCTGTCTGCTATCTGCCCGCTACAGTTGAAACGGGGATTCATCTGTGAAGAGCACACTTATCAAGCATGCCAGTGGCCATCGAATGTGAGTATTTGCCCACTGAAGTCAGTTACGACGCAGAACTGCACCCAGGTCAAGACCCCAGTGAGGACGACGAGCATGCAGATGAGCTTCCCTGAGACGGTTTCTGACAGTTTGTGCAGAACTTCTTCGGTTGTGCAAACCCACAGTTTCATCAGCTCTCTGGGTGTCTGGTCTCAGACGATCCCGCAGGTGAAGAAACAGGATGTGAAGGTCCTGGGCTGGCGTGGTTACACATGGTCTGCGGTTGAGAGGCGGGTTGGATGTACTGCCAAATTCTTTAAAACAACATTGGAGGCGGTTTATGGTAGAGAAATTAACATTACATTCTCTGGCAACAGCTCTGGTGGACATTCCTGCAGTCAGCATGCCAATTGCATGCTCCCTCAAAACTTGAGACATCTGTGGCATTGTTGCACCTGTGTAATTATCATACCATTTAATCAGCTTCTTGATATACCAGACCGGTTTGCCGGTCTTGACACCTTAATACTGACATAAATTTGAGATAGGAGAATCTATCTCTGGCCCTGTAGTATGGTGAAAGGAATGTCCTTTGTTTCATAGACTTTTGCCACCCAAAAACTTCAACATCCAACAATGAACATTGGGACAATATATTTCAACATCCAAACATTGGGAATGATGAGAAATGGAATATGGAAAATTAATGTATATTTTGTGATGTCATTAAAAATGGTATAAAGGCGTTTTGACGAAAACATTGTGACTTGAAGAGCTTTTACACTGTGTATATCAGGCTTACATCCTTTACCTTGTGTAGAAAATATCAAGGAGGAAGACAATGTTTTCATGAAGATAGGAATGTGAATTTAGCTTTCTAACAAAATCATAGTGATGATAATACTTTTGCCTCGTAACTAGCCACGCCCAAGGGAGCTCAGAGAGCGTGTCCGTATGACGGAAATGCCCCTCTTTACCAGAGTGCATAAAAGACTGAGATAAGAATTATCAGATCAGACTAGACGGACCTCAAGCTGCAGCTGTTGTCCATATTGGTCCGACCCTGAAAATCAACACGAGGTGAAGCCGACAAAGTTGCCTCCACTAACAATCAATGTTACGGCTGAGAAGCTGTTCTAAGGACTGTATTTAAGAAGGTGAATTTAAGTGGGACCATCCTGTTACTCTCTTCAAACCATTGTCTACTACACTGCTCTCATCACCCCACAGGGGATCATCGACATGGCTGATTAGTCGTCCTCAGAAGACCACTTCCAGAACGAGTGAAAGTAAACAGATGACTAAGAAGAAGGACATTGTGACCTCTTGTGGACAATCTGAGCCTTACATCTGAGCCTTACATCTAAAAGGCCATCCGGAAAGAGAAGGCCCAATCGACCCTTCCCACGAAGGCCTGGGTCCAACAGAGACGACGAAGACAAACACGTAAATACATGCATTACTTCTTACCAAACGGGCGACAGTTCTGGCAAAGTATTATGATTACTATGAGCTTAGGTCCATGTTTATCCAAGTGTTTCTCTCTCTCTCTCTCTCGCCATCTTTTGTAACAAGTGTCATATTGTATTCGTTCGCTAGGGACCCGTTTTCATTGTATTAAGTTTCTAATCCCTACCTATACCGTGTATGTGTTTGTATCTTGTGTTATCATTTTTAATTAGTTAGTAAATAAATGATTAAATCAATTTGTGTGGTACTGAATAATCAGTAAGACCCGGGTTCGTGCAGACTTAAAGAGCCTACGACTTTCAGAATGAGACTGATATGAGGTAAATTATTAATAAATGATTGTTAAATGATAAGAGATATCTAGATATCTTTAGAGTTCATTCGGGAAACGGTAACTCGTTAAACAACTTTTCCCGTGGTGCCCCAAATTCCTAATGAGTTAATTGTTACATGATTAATGTAATCTAGTAACAATTAAACATAGTTGGTAATTATTGGATAAATAATAGTCATCACAATAATGAAAGTCACATCACGACGTGGGTATATGTTGTGAAATTGTTAGATATTACTCCACTGTTGGAGCTAGAAGCTACACCCGCAATAACATCTGCTAAACACGTGTGTGTGACAAATACAATTTGATTTGATCTGTCTGACATTTGCAAAAAAAATCAGTATTGAAATTCGATCTCTAGCTGTCCCATAATAATGAACGTGTAGAGGTCGGGAGTCGAGATGAGACAGGCAGGCAGCTTTTCTCAGCCAGTCAAAATCATGAATCAGCATAATTTTTATGGATATATACAAATAAATGTCAATAGAAAACAGGTCAATCGAAGCAAAGTGCAGCTAGTTTGCAGTCTTTCCAGCTTCAGTTTGAAGTTATTGTGTTAGCGGTGTTGTTGGCTAGCTCCTCTGAACAACAGTGTCCTGATGAGAGAGCACATTTTCTATGCCAGGTGAAATTGTGCATCATTAGCTCATTGTTATGGATGTATCCAAATAAAAGTCACTAGAAAACAGCTTAAACAAATGCAAATGCAGCTACTTTGTTATTATTCTGGCTGCACTGTTTAATGTGACTGTAAATTAGCCGTAGTTGGCTAGCTAGTAAGCGAGTGATAAGAACATTGCCAGCCAGTATCATAATAGAACATTTAGAACGAACGACTGGGTTGCGTCCATAGATACAGAACAAAATC